TAAGCTCCTGGCTGCAGTTTTTCCTTTTCCATGGGTAGATCTTGAGTCCAAGATGAATATTCTTCATCATAATRTAAATATGCTGTAGAACATCTCAACAAGAGCAATGTGGGGTTGTTGGGGTTTTTTTTTTTCCCCTCAATTAAATCAAAATAAAAACCTAAATAAGGCTGTCTCACCCACGGTGCTCCATCCTCTGCTCCAAGGCCCTGCCAGCAGCTCAGGGAGATTCTGAGATTTCAGCCCATGGAGCTGCTCTTGGGAATGGAGACCTCACCCATGTCACCCCCAGGACAGGGGGGCTTGTCCTGGTGACTCCAACCCCAGCTGAGCCCCCGTGCCAGGCTGAGCAGGGTGACAATGTCTGTGACAATGCTGGCACAACCCTGCACGGTTGGCACTGCCTTCCCTGGCACGGAGCAGGGCTGGGGACAGCAGCCAGGGAGCGAGGATGGGCATACCCTGGGTGAGACAGCCTTATTTAGCTTTTTATTTTGTTTTAATTGAGAGAAAAAAAAAAAAAAAAAAAAAAAAAAAAGCACTTTGCCCTTGTTGAGATGTTGTACAGAATATTTATATGATGATGAAGAATAATGAACAGCACTCAGGCTGTTCCTGATGGCGTTTGGCTGCTGCTGGTGTTGGTAGAGCCCTCTCCTGTCTCGTGCCAAGTTTGGGACATGCTGGCACAGGAATTGGCATCTCCTGATGCCCGTGGGACAGAGCACTGGTGTTACCCCTGTTGGTATTTTTAGGATGGGGGTCCCACCGTCGCTTTCTAATTGTCCCAAATGAGYGTGTTTGGGATCGCCCCATCTGCTGCCTCCCTGCTTTGGGGTCTCCATCCTCCTCTGGGGTTCTCTGCACCCCTGGAAGGATCCAGCAGGATCCCCTGGGTGCCTCTGTCCCCCTCCAGACCCCGGACCAGGCGTGGAGCAGCAGCAGTGGGTGCTGGAAGGGGCAGAGCTCAGTGGGACAGTTTCACGTCCTGCACATCGAGGGAAGGGTGGAACGCGACCTCGCCCTGACTGAGGTGTTTGTGCTTGAGCAGGGGAGCCTGGAAATGTCAGCCTGGGCTGGTTTTTTGGTCTTTATTCAGAAAAAGGTAGAAATTGTGTTGGCTGAGGAGCAGCTGCTCCTGGAGGATGGAGAGGGAGCAAAATTCCACCTGCGGGAGTGACAGAATTCTGGAATGGCTTGGGATGGAAGGGACCTCAAAGCCCATCCAGTGCCACCTCTGCCATGGGCAGGGACACCTCCCACTGTCCCAGGCTGCTCCCAGCCCCAATGTCCAGCCTGGCCTTGGGCACTGCCAGGGATCCAGGGGCAGCCACAGCTGCTCTGGGCAGTCCCAGTTTGGTGTGTCTGGAGAGCAGCAGCTCCTCTGTGCCACAGGATGGGCTCTGTGGTCACTCCGTGGTGGGGAAGTAGGGAAAAAGAGAGGGAGGGAAGAAGGGGGCTGCTCCAGGGACTCACAAAATCATCCAAATTGTCTAAATTGTCCAAATTATCCAAATTGTCTAAACTGTTCAAATTGTCCCAAATGTGTCCGTTGTGCTGCCCCCACCGCAGCCCCTCAGCCCCGGGCTCTGCTGGCTCTGTCCCCAGCCCTGCATGAGGCAAGCTTGTTATTTTTAAAAATAAATTAAACGAGGAGGAGAAGAGCCTCAATCTAGGCCTTGCTCCGGATCTTAATTGCCCTGGCTCCCCGGGGGCCGGGTGAGCAGTAACGAGCTATTAATAAMCCTAATAATAATAACAAAAATGGTTAATAATAACCAGCCTGGCTCTGCCCGGCACGGACGGGGACCATGGGTGGCCCTGCAGGGGACACGGAGTCTCTGCAGCTCCAAAATCCGCCCGGATTTGTGGGGAATGGCTCCTCCAGCACCCTTTAATCCCGCTGTGGGGTTTGCCGAGGGGTCAGCTGTCCGGCAGAGCCCATGGGTGGGGGCTGTGGGGTGGCAGGGTTCTACTGTGGGCAGGGAAGGTGAGCCCRGGGCTGCAGCTCCCGCTCGCCATCTGCCAGAAAAAAACAACCCCAGAGCGGCCCGAGCTCCGCTCGAGGGATCGGATGGCCGGAGGAGTGACCAAAAGCGGAGTTGGGTTACGCGGGGCTCATCCATAATGAACGCGGGGCGGGGAAGGGCTGGGTCCCCTTGGGATGGAGGGGTGGGGAAGGGCTGGGTACCCCAGGGATGGAGGGGTGGGGAAGGGCTGGGTACCCCAGGGATGGAGGGGTGGGGAAGGGCTGAGTCCCCCCGG